AAAGTTTAGTGCTAGGATTCAAACATCCATGCAGGCGGTGGTTCAGCACATGATGCTTGAGCAGAGCGTACCATCCACACACCCCAACAACTCGTGTGCCACCGAGCCCAACTGGGCCACCCCAAAGGACAGAGATTAACCCCAGGGGACCCCATCTGAAAGCAAGCAGACCGACTGGCAGATCCTCCGTCCTTATCCAGCTCAAACTAACAAATCGTTCTCCCAGTGCAGGAAAAATAATTTCTTCCTTGGAGGAAGACCAGCTGCTTGCAATCCCATCCACTGGAAATAAAGCCATTAAAAAAAAAAAGTCAAACTTCTTAATAAGAATATTTCTAAGAAAAGAGCTGGGAGGAAGGGCAGGTCTGCAGGTAAGGCAGCAGGCAGGTACTGAGGGGAGAGGGGCTCACCACTTGGCTCCCAAACAGACTGTTCAGTCCCACAAAAAATTCTGTCTGCCCTTCACTCAAACTTCTGAGCATTTAGGCTCTTCAGAACACAGCCTGCTTTACAGCTGCCATTTCCATAAAACCTATCATAACAGATCCCCATTGTAATCTATAAAGTTATATTATAGTACAATTTAGAAATTATCATCTTTTCCTATCCAGATGTTACTGATTTCAACAGAGAGCAGACTTCTCCATTTCATTTTTCCACCTCCTGTACAGTGCCACTTCCCTCTCCTTCAGAAGGTATTTCTTAGGCTTGGTGGCAAATTGGGATTTGGATTAGGAGCCATAATTTCTCTAGATCTAGATGACTCTTCCTTCTCGTTAGAGCTGCACTAGGCACATTAGAGTTCCAAGTAACTTTGTGGGTGGGTTTTTTTTCTTTTCCCCAATCACCAAACTGCGCTTTTTCACTTGAAAAATCAAATTTTGATAAGATCAGTAACACTAAGCCTCTGCTCCTGAACTGCTGGTCAGGCGCTACAAAGGGGAAAAAACCCATACTACACAAAGATACTTTTATCACATCCCTTAGGTATATTCTAACTCTCTGAACTAAAGCCATTTAAAAACCAGACATAATCACTATTTCCATCTTATTTCCCTGCCAGTCACAGTATCATCGTCATTCTTCTTCAATTACAACCCATGACATGCCCACCTATGACGAGAAAACCAAGCCCAGTCTGAAATTCATAATAGCCAACCTGTATGATCTCAGTCAAAGGAGGAAAGCAGCACAATGGTAAAATCTATCCACGACTGAACAACATAAGAATTCGGTGTTGGGTATTTAAATTTATTTAAAATGAATGATTTGGACACCTACGGAAACATTATTCTTCTTTCTGCTTATCCTCAATTTAAAAAGAGAGCTCAGAAGAGCGTTTCTTAGGAAATGTCTTTTCCAAAAGTGCCTACTTACACTCTGCTTGCACCATATCTTGGGTGACATAAAGTATGGTAATGAGGCTGTATTTGCTTTCATCGCTAAATATGACAATTTGTCAGTCTGCCTAGGGAAAAAGCAGCTGAACTTGCAACACAACACAGACTTTACTTCTTTGGAAAAAGCATTCCAAAACTTTTCTCCCAAATAAGGAAAACAAAAATTTGGCAGGAAGTTTTGTTCTTGACCAACAACTAACCAAATTTCATTCTAAAAGTTGACAGGAGATGGCAGGAGGACTTTCATGGATGGCAACACTTCTGCGGGCATTTTCTTTCCCTCCCCCCGAATCCGTATTCCAGAGCACAAGGCACTGAGAAAGAAAGAAAATCAGAGGAGCCCCTACATGTGATTCTGACTTTCCTTAGAAGAGAATTAAGGCTTCACGCTCCAACTAGCCATGACTGCAGATACCAATAAACGCTTGAGCCTGAAGCACTTTCCGAGCGCCAGCGTATCCCTTCAAGGCTTGAATCTTACAGATCTTCCTTTGAAGTGAAGCCCTTCAAAGCAACATCCCCTATCCATTTGATGGTTTGACCCTGTGCTCAGATCTCGCCTCCAGCATGAAAGACTCTAAGGAATTTGTAGTTGTAGGAAAAAGCAGAGAGAAATTCCAGCAGCTCAATGGGAACCGATACATCCATGGCTGAAAGGAGACACCAGGCTGTCACCACACTGGGCACCAGCTGGGCTGCCCATGAGGCACTCAAAGGTAAACAGAGTAAGTACCAGATCACCTCTGCCCCAGGATTTTACTTCAAACAAAACCCAAGTTAACAGAGGAACTGAAACTCACCAAAAAGGCTGTTGGGTTTTTTTTAAATTAAAAAACCCAAACAAACCAACCACAACTCCTTCCAGGCATTCACAGGATGCCTACATGGTACCTGTAACTATGTGAAAACCTGAAAAATTGCAGATAATATTTTTGCTGATTGCAATATAAAGCCCTTAATATTCAGTCATCTACTTGAAGATCTAAAATAGTGCTAAACATTTTAGCACCGTGTATACACACAGCACAATTCTTTCCAGTTGCAGGACTATAATTAAGCTTTATTCCTTATATTATTAATCCCTTTAGAATTATAAAACATATTCCAAGAAAAATTTTGGAAGACAAGGGTTTTTAAAAAAACCTTAGAAGTTTAACTGTTGTTCCCTATGGAAAATAGATCCTGGTTTTGTTCCAATGCTACACCGAAGATAACTGTAAACTGTTTATTAAGCAAGTGGCTTTGATTCAAGCCACCAGTTACAGTGAGTTCAGGTGTTGCTTACAAAAAAACAGGATTAAACAATCCCGATTGCTAGGAACTGTTAAATATTGCATTCCTTGAAGTGGTGAATGTTAACTTTCTTCCACTTCACCTCCTAGAACAGCTGCCTCCTTGCCAGCTCCACTGCCTTTGTTGAAAGTTATTTGTCATACTGAACAGAAGTTCCTGGGAAAAAACTATGCTGGGAGCAGAGGTGTAGAACATTACAGCCTGATTTTTTTTTTTTTTTTTTTTTAAGAACTCACAGTTACTCTGCAGTTTTACAAAGACAAATGATCTGCTTGGCTTTTCCTAGACGAGTACAACCAGCACAGTAGAAAAATCAAACGTCAATACAGCATCAATACTGAAAGCACAGTGCTCTTCCCCGACAAAAAGCACAGAGCACTTTAGTTTTCCAGTACTGGTGAAGAAAATTCAGTAGTTAATGATGGAAAACTCACCAGGAGATAAGGCTTGAGATTCCTTCATTATCATATTGTGTTTGTGTATTGCTGAGTCCTCAGACTGCGGGTCAGCTTACACTGCAGGAGGCTAAAATACAAAAGCTTTGAGGGATGAGGTTAGAGATAGGATCTGCAAATTCTGTGGTTGAGTTGAACGCCAACAAAAAACCTCAAATAAAGCTGCAGCCCGGAGCTATACGGTCCCTACAGCTCTTTCTCCAGAACCAGGGAGGGAGAGAGCTGCTGGAAAAAATGACCCAGAACACCTATGCATTACACAAAAGTTTAAGAAAGGGATGTTCCTGCAGGTGTGGAGAATAACTGCCTGCATATCTGAAGAAGACCTCATCCAACCCTGGCCATCTGATTTCTTAGAAGTATTACTGTCTCTAAGAAAAGAGTTACATTACTTCAAGAACACAAATGATGGCATTATGCACTTACGATTTCCATGAAGGCATTCAACTAGCCTTTCAACTATGCCTCCCCCTCTCCAATAAAACTGTATGCTCACTTGCTCACTTTGGCACAGTGATTACATCTTGTAATACTGAGACCAATATATTTTTTGTTGCTGCCATGACAACGATGCTGTTAGGCCAGACCTAAAGCAGCAGCTGGCTTCTCCACTGCCAGACCCTGGCTACTACAGCTCTTAACTTTTTTCCCTTTCTAAATACATTGCCTATATACCAGGATTTTAGTAGCTTTAATTTAAAGAGAGAATTACAAAGTACACCCATTTTTCTGCTTCCCAAGAATCATTACTATCATGAGGCAGGCAGCAGAAGTAACACAAACACCTATTTCTCCAGTAGCTGTAGGGGCTCACATGACCTTAAGCACGCAGAAAATCTTGCTTCCAAGTAAATATAGGTATTAGCTGCTGGCATTAGTACACTATGCATAGCTTAAGGAAAGGGTGGCAAATACAGCTAAAGCTAATGAAAGCTTTTACAGGATACCAGAGTCAGGCCCAACAAAAATCTAAAACATTGTGCTCTACATTTACACTCTTAAAATGAGATATATTTTCAAATTAAGAGCTTGAAAATAATATTACTACGAAACAGCGTCTGTAAGAATGAACTAGACTGAGCATAACGCAAGCAAGGAAAAGGGTAAGAATTCTACATAAACACGTCTCAGCTCTGCCACTGTAGCCTTCTAGGTAGAGAGGTTCCTACTACATTTTGCAAATGTTCATACCCAGTGCATCACTTGGCCAAGATTTCAAATGCAACTGAGATGACAGAAGAGGAGGAAAAAAGAAATAATCCCCTCAACTGAGATTTTTTTCAGTCATTCATATTATGCTGTCCTATTAAGTATTAAAAAGGGTATTTAAGAAGTAAACGAAGCATACTACAGTATCTTGAGGAGATCACTCATTTAATAAAACCACCCATTTGCAAGTTTCTGACAACACTATTACTACTGAACCATGCACACAGACTGAACCTTACGGCCACGTGGTTGTGGCTGCGGGATCGAGGGCACTGCAATGGTTTATTAAGGATGAAAAAAGCCCCACAGTTCCACAGAGCATGCCCCACTCAAGGCTCCCCCCAGCATTACATGGTACTGCTCCAGAAGTGCTGAGCCAAGAGAGCCCAGAAAGCAGGGCTGCTAAGAACTTGGAGCAACCCCACCAAACCGTAACTTGGTTGACAGTAAAAAGATACTAAAAAGGAAGGTTATTAACTAAGTTTCTAACTAGCTATTGAGAGGAAGTCCAGTTTGGTACAGAAAGTATAGCTCTTTTCAGTTCACATTGCTTATCATACTCAGCTATTCCCCACCTTTGATAATACTGACATCTACATAAGTTGCATAAATTACAAACCACCATCATTACAAATGCAGGTTGTTTTGGAAAGCAATTTAAACAACTAGAAGTATTTATTGCAAACCAGTTTCTCTCTTCTCCCATTTAAAAGGCAGCCAGTAAAAGTAAACACATGTGAACAGAAAAACATTCATGAAACACAAACTGATTTAATTAAAATTGAAAAGGAAAACATAGCGCAGGAATAAAAACTCCAGATACATAGCAATTATTAATTATGAAGCTGTTGATGATCTTGGAAAAGCATTTGGGAATTCATGACCAAGTATTCAGCCTTGAGTTCTGAGGGAAAGGGGGGAACAACCATGACTTTCCAAGTCCTTCAGCACCACTGCACATAAAACTGTACTACTTGATGTATTTTTCCATGAACTTTTTGTGAAATTCTGATCGCAGAGTATCATTCACAAATCTTTTGTCCTTTTTTGTTTCATCTATCCCCTTGGCACAATTCTTGAAGACAACATCATCATCCCATCTGAAAACAAAAGTTTTTAATTTCAGTAAGCTTGTATGAAAATTAGGTGCAATTTACAAAAACATATAAATGAACTTTGGCTCTCCTGTTTAAATGTACTAAGAACAACTACTCATTACGATTAGATTTTAGTATTTCAGAAAAAAAAGATCTATTTTTCTAATCCAAGCCATCTCCTATGTGCTCCTGAGCTAGAAGCGAGATGCGTATCAGTAGATTAAAGGTTATTTTATCTTTACAGAAAATAATGACCATTTGAACAGAGCAGGGAAAAAACCTTTAATCTAATAGCCCTAATTTTGACAAACGCAACAGTAATTGGAACATCCTTAAACAAGAATTGTATTAAGAAAAAGGCTGGTATTTATTAATTCTAGTTACACTTAAAAAACCAAATAAATAAAACCCCCAAACCAGCTAGATTTTAAAGGGGAGCCTAACATCAAATTTCTTCAGGAACTTTGGCCCTGTCACTTTTTGTATCATTATGCTCAATGTCAGACAAATACAATTCTCAATCTCTTTCTCTCTTTCTTAAATGCAAACTGGCAGGATGATTTGTTCAGAGAAATGCCCAAGACAATCACTACCCGCGTCAGTATCCCAATTCTACATTACACCGCTTGTGACAAGATCTGGGAAAGGAAATAAAAAACAAAGGCAGCGCTAACATATTCTGACTCCAAGTACGGACAGGGAGCAAGGGGATGGATATCACACTACAGGCTGCACAGTACCTCCTCTTCACTTTAAAGTTTGCTTGAGGTTGTGCTGGGCCGGTAAGGTTCAACAGAGGGTTACCGCTCAGAATGTTCTCCATCCGAATTCTTTCTTCTTCAGCCTTTTGCTCTTGTTCCTGAGAACCAGAAATGGCTATGTTACTTTTCTAGGTCACTTTTCTCCTCTAGTTGGTAGAGACAAATGTTATTTAGCTGTGAACACTCACACAGATAGCGCTTTAAATCCTAGCTCAGACTTTTCAGAGTGTTTGACACTTGTGTATGAGTACAGTAAGGACAGAAGCAGAGATACTTTAAAGAGCTTAACATTGCTAATAAACTGTCAATCTAGCAACACTCCTATCTGCTCTACTTGCCTCTGATGTTCCATCAAATATTCAGTTAAATTCTAGCTTTACCATTTACATATTTATTATGTTCAAATTTGTATACAGATTAAAAGATTTTCTTCATCCTGATGAGCAAAGAGAGTATATTATACAATATTCATTAGGTGGAAGAAACCTTACGGCATGTTGAAATTTCTCTATCTTCAGCAATCCGCTTGGGTTTTACAACGACAACTTCCCTATGGACCAATTAAAAAGAATACGGAGAGATCCAAGGTGATATTGAGCAGTGGATGTCCTAAGACTATTTAAGAGTTCCAATATTAAGGAGCTGAAAATTTTTCTCCTCCTTGTACTGTCAAAGGCATGTAACTCAAGCCAAAGTGAAGCAATGCACTACAGGCAACACAAAGTAGATTTCATTGCCCACACTTCCAAGCTGTATTAATATATTTAGTGACTTAAATATTCACAGACTTCAAAATGAATGTGTAATATTCATTTTACATCAATGTATTTTTCTACAGCCTTTCAAATGTATTGAAAGGATTGCTCTTCGATGAAAGTGCCAGAAGGAAAAATAAAAAAATTCTTTAAATTTGGATGACTAACTAGGTCTCCTGCTCCCTGTATGCTGAAGTATGGTCTGAAGACATTCCAGTTAAAAAATGCTCTGAAGTCTCACTAGCACTGCAGGAGACTCAAACCACGGCTTTTAAAAACTATATAAACTAAAAGACAAAGAGATCACAAAGTGTGTTTTTTTTTTTCTCCAAACTGCAGAAAATTCATAGCTGAAGGCTACAATGGGATCCCAAAAGAGGAAAAGTTTTTCTTGATGATAGTGTTTACAAGGTTTAAGTGCTAAACTTGAACACTGATGCTAGCCAGAGTTCTCTAGCTTCAAACTTTTACTCAATACTAAGTGATATATTACTAAAACTATCTACAATTTACAATGTTTTCCAATTGGAATGATCATGTATCTGAAATATTCCTATAAAACACCCCAATCCTCTTAAGAACAGTATCAACTTAATGTACATATGAATACCAGATGATGCAGGATTACTGGTAAAGATTTAACTTTTCAAAATCTACCCAAGTTTTAGTTATGAAAAAACACCTACCATTACACTGCTTCTCACAAATAAAATTTAGAACCAGCTGCCATTAATTGCCAGTGGGATGGGAGAAGCTCCCCAAAAGGGTATATTGCTTAAAAGCATGGTACAGCTTCAGGACAAGCCCTGTAATGCTCTTACTAAAACATGTGCATAGGCAAAACTTGCCCTTGCTGCTGTATCCATGGAGCTTTAACACAAACCGCAGCAGTTAAAAGTTATTAACATAAATAAACTGAAGTTTTGCATTTTCAAACAGAGCTCTAAATCCAACATTTGCATTCCAACTTCAGTTGTTATTACCACCACAGTAAATAAGGAAGCACAGCGAACAAAAATATTTGCTATGGAACAGCAATTTGAACCCGTATGAGAAATACAAATTCAAACTATACACTTCTTTCCTCTAGATTACAGACAAGAAACATATGCAGCTTCCTCTGCACAGTATGCCAACCTTTGATTACCGATTTCTTTCCCCATGACATGGAGGAGCCAACAGCAGTGAAATCCGATTTACTGCGGTCTGTGTCACGTGCTCCCACCAGAAGTCAAGGAGCCCTCAGACTACTGTACAGCACAGAAATGCAAAGCACTAATTTGAAACCAAGCAAAATCTAGGATACTGGTACAAGCAAAAAAACGGTTTCAGGTACCTCCCAAAAGGTGAACAGATTCTGTTTAAGACCATTAGGCAAATTTAGAACGGATGCAAGCATGTGAAATGTTCTCTGTGTTGTACAAAATGAAGTGGGCTCTGCATCAATAAATTCGATCACTGATGCTCCATTAAAAGTGAGACTTTGGTCTGGGACAAATCTTAAAAGCAAACAAGAATGCTGCAAACCAAAAATTCATACTGGACTATACTCCAGAGAAGGTAGCACTAACAAAAGCATCGTAAGAAATTAATACTCTCCTGTTGAAAAATGCTTCTGTAGAGCCAACTCCTTCCAAGTCCTCCACATGCAAACAGATGCAGGAGTTTTCCATTTTAGAGCTGAACTCCAGGGGAACTCTCCTCAAGTCGCCACACAGAGCATGGCACAGTCTTGCCCTCAAATTTCTAAGACAGTAACCTCGGCTGTGATCCAAAGTTACTGAACCTGTGCCTCACACACCACTTTCTCTGGGGCACACATAACTACCTTATGCTGGTCTTTTACGATGCAGGAAAATGCACCCACACACCACTGACAAATACAGAACTAGAACGCACTATACACACAGTGTTTCTTTGATGGTCAAAAGCCCACTGGAGTCAGTCAGCATCTTCTGAGGGGAACTGCAGTTCTTTTTCCCCTCCCTTCCCCCATTTCAGATTTAATCTCAACAGTTCCTACAAAGCTGATGGTTCCAGCATTCACCATGCACAAAGAGGAGAGAAGAGAAAAGCACTCAAACACTCATTTGAATTGTAAACATTCAGAATCACTACAGGAAGATAAAGCTAATACTAAGAATCATAAAAAATATGCATATAGTACTCTAGTGTTCTTATTACACACAGACGCACATTTAATTTTTCTATAATAACGTTTTTAAAAGGCATGTTAGGCATCATCCTTTTATCTGCTTTACAAAACCCATGTAATATCCCTCAGCCTCAATTAACTTGATATAGTTTGCTTTCTGATAATGAAAAAAGCATTACCGGACTGCAGTTGATAAAATGTGGTGATAGGAAAAAAAAAAAAAAAAAGAATGAAACCAGAAATAACACTTTTAAGAAGCATTACACTACAAGCAGTAGTATAAGACTAAGAGTAGGATTACAAGCAGTAGTATAAGACTAAGAGTAGGATTCAGCTCCAGATTAAGACACCTACACCTAGACATCTGCTTGTAGGCACTCAAGCTCACATCTCGGCAGAGATCTAGGGAATACAATAAGGAGTCAAGGCGGTTCTTCTGCTCACACTAACTTACACACACAGGAGACCGACCACGCTCCAGGCTCTACTGACTGCATCTCCACCACACCACCATGGAAGCTAGGATACATAACTTGTACATTGACCCTAACAATTTGGCATTTCAAGCTCAACCGAATTCTGTCTAAAATTGCTAATTGCTAGCAAAAAATTACATTGACTCAAGTCAACTACAATTCTGGAGGACAGCAAACATTGCACTATGATTAAAAGAAGCAGTAGGGGCAATGTTGGGAATTTCAAGTGATTACATTTTATTTTTGCACCTTTTAAATGATTAAAAACAATTATGAACATAATGCTAATAGAAGCTGTCAAACATTCTTTTATAGTGACAGAAAACATCCATCAATCTTATTTCCAAACATTGATTTTTCCATATTCACAGTAAGAGATGCTGCAGAGCCCCTGGGCACTTTTTGCGACCCTCTGCTGCTTCTCAGCTCTGCTCACAAACAGAACTCTGCTGTCTTTTAGACCTGCAGAGGCAGAACAACTAGAAGTAGTAACAAATTGCAGAAGCTGATCTTTGTCATTAAAGATCAACAGATTAGAGTCTGAAAGCAAACAGGGACCAGATCTGTTGAGTAAGGCATTGCCAGTTTTAGTACCTTTACAAAGAAGACCCAGCGAGCATGGTAATTAACTTATGGAATTCAGTTGTTCAAAGCTGTTCTACGTTGGATGACATTTCAACGTATTTGCTACAAATTTTATGAAGCAGGCTAATTCTGAATATTAGTATTGAAGATTTTTTGTATTATTTAGCTTCACTAAAACCTCCCAAAGAAGGTATTCAAGATTAAAAAAAGAAAGAGAATTTACTAAGTTTTGTATCTTAGAGACATGACACGGAGGAAATACTAGGTTCAACTCGCAGTGGCGTAAAGCTGACATTTACATTTAAGCTAAATTACACATTTTGGTCAGAGCTGCAGAATCCCTCATCTCCAGTCAAAAGAGGTTTTCATTATGTTTCAGAATTTTCCACATAAATCTTCCACTCCCCACTCCTCCACTGAAAGCTGGGATCCTCCAGGCGATAGACCATGGGTTGTATCAAATCAAATAGACCAGACATAACCTTCATAGCTGTCGGAGCCTCACACCTCTGAGGCACGATCAAGCACAGCTGTTCACCAAATAAGCGGCTCAGGTTGCTCCAAAGCCTGCGTTGTTCTCCTGTAAACCACTTTGGATACAACAAACCCACAACAGAAGAAAAGCCTACGGGGGTAAAATAATACGTCTGTATTCTCTCCACCCTTTCTAAAATAATGCCTCTTTGCCTGCCTTTCTGTTCAGCCAGATGAGGTAGACAACTCTTTTCCTCAGCCATTTTAGCAAAAAAAACATCCTACAGATTATTCCATCACTACAGACAGCAGCACCGTGCTTTTCAATGGCAGCCAACTATCTGCAGAGATGAATCAAACATCAACCACGTTGTAATGACCGTGTTAGCGGTAGAGGCAATAGAACAGGAATATTATGGTGTGGGGAATAAGACGGGACTGGCAGAGGGAGTCCCATTATCCCCATGAAGGAGATGGAGACGCTGCTATGTAAATCGGCTCTCACAGCAAGCCTTCACTCTACAGCTGAACTTGCCATGTGGCATCAGAGCTGGGGAAAAAAAGAAAGCGGACAAAACTATATTAACCTTAACTAAACACTTCTTCCTTATCTTGCTGTAAGAATAACAGTCTCTTGGCATATTTGTTTCTGACCGCAAAGGAAAGAAAAACAGTATTGTTACCATGGTTATTTTTTTTTTTTTTAGTACAGTTCCCACTTTTAGCACACAGCAAGATTACTTTTACAGAAAGTGCTGAAATTCCTGAAATGACTCCGTTGTATTAAAGTAAGTTATCCTATTCAGTTTTTATAGATGTTGAGTAGCTGAAGGAAAACCTGAAATACCCACATTTCATTGAAGGCCCCCCCCCCAATCAAATAATCTTATTTAAATGCTGATTTTTGAATGACAAACTATCATAGCACTGCCTTTAGCAGCAAGGAACTAAACTTAATAATGCAGAGATCCACCCCAGTTATTTCATCCTATGCAAATTACTAACTCTGCGCAATACAGTGATTCAAATAACTGATTGAAACGTAAAAAAAAAAATAAGAGCACAGAGTAATCACAACTGCAGTGTCTATACGCAGATTTGTTGTCATTTTGCCGTGAGGGAGGGGACATTATCGTTAGTTCTTGGCAAGGCTAAGTACTGCTAGCATGTCTCAAACATTTAATGAACAAACATACTGTGCCATCTGCTTTTGCCTCTTTACTGAAATTCTTTCTTAATCACCGATTTGATATTCTAGTTTTAGTTAGACCCTTAAAATTTAAGTGAAAAGGTTAATATCTATCAAGATTCATTTTCTAATGTTTTATTTGAAAGTCTGACACACGGCTAAAACATAGGGCAGAGCTAAGACGTATTTTGACCATTGGTAAAGTAATATATTCAGTTATATAGAAGCACTTGGTGAAATAAAACTATTACGAAAACAAACCAAAAACTTTAAGTCTGTTCTCAGATAAGCATAAAATGACTGGATGTTAAAATAGCTTTGCTGGAACTGCATACGTACACTCAGCTGCTCATTGGTTTGAGGTTTGTTTTTAATTATTTCAATTTACTTTTTAAGGAAGTGCTTGAAAATTGACAATCAAAAGCACTGTAATGCTGAATTTGAAATATTGAAATGTTTCCATGAAGCCTACCCGTGGATAGTTCACATAGACAACAGACCTAGCATTTCCACAGTTTTAGACAGACCCAGAATTATTCCACAGAAATGGCTTTCAAAACTAAAATTTCCTGGTCACCTTCGTGTCTACTAGAAACAACCTGAGAGATTAAAATTGTGGAGGGCGTGAGAAAAGTCAGGAGGACTCCCATCCTCAATCAGTTTTTAAAAACATTTGTAGTATTTATTTAATGTTTCTACAGAATTCAAGGGAATTTCAGTATTTTGAGAAGTTAACAAGCTTTAACAGGAATGGCTTATTTGGCTGACAAACTATTTGCCTCACAAATGACAGGGAAATATCAGTGTGAAGGAAGTCGGAACCTCTTAATACTAATATTTATCAAAATTTAGAGGATTTCTATGGAAATTGGCCCTACCACATAAGGGAATTTAACAGAGAGCATGATGAACTAAAAAAAGGCAGATTCTCATCTTTTAACTGCTCTCTCACCAGAGATGCGTTTTAAAAGGAGCAGCCCTCCTTTCATGGCAACTTAAATACTGGACACCAAAGTGATGAGTGAAAACAGTTAACAACAATACAGTTTACCTTAAATGAAGTGTCAGAAATAATTAGACTAGCATTTTAACAAATTAAAATAACTGAAGTATCGTGAAAGAAATTACATATGACATAAATCTGGGATATATTACTGTATTTCACCCGCTTCATGTTGTTAAGACCCTGGCATATTTCAAGAAGATGCAGAGACACATTAATCTGTCTGTATAACAACAAAGAGATTTGACAACGACGAGCAGAGTGAAGAGCGAACAGGCATCCACTCTGCAGTCTCCCTTTGCCTGGCCACTGCTTTACCCACGCTATCTACTATGGACAGCAGCATTTCAGCAGATAAACCATCCCTGTACGTGGACTAGGACTAACAGTGACCACACAATTAAGATTTTACATGAGATGTTATCCTGAAGTCAGCTGGATGACTAATATAAGGTTACTTACAAAATTAGGTTTAAATTATGGTTTGCAACACCCTCATATCCGAAGGGGAAATGGCTATATAAATGGCTATAAAATGCCTTACCAGTAACACCTTATTTCAAAGCCATGGAAAACAAGGCATAATCTAAACAGATTGCACCACTAAAACCAACGTACATGTGATCTTTTCGTAAGGGGATCCTTACTCCTAAAGACTCTTTCCAAGGCTGCGCCCTACCTTGGTTTTCACTTTTTCCATCCATGTAGTCTTACTTTCCTACTCTCAAAAAAACCCAAGAAAATAAAATTCCAAGTACCTGTAGACCACCTACTATTTACTGAAGATGTCAATTTTTAAGAGAGCCTATCTGCCACCAACCAGTGAAAGGATGAACAGAGCAGGCAGGGAGTGTGCAACAGCGTGCACTGTTGCAAATAAATCAACACTACTAATTTTAGGGAACAAACAAACATATTCATTTCAGATAAGTGTGCTTGTATTCAGTATGCACATAGCAGTGGACATTATAAACTCTGCTTCTGGTGGAAGGAGAACATCCATGAAGCTAAAAAATACTACCAGCCAAGAGACAGCAAAATAAGGCAAGTGCTATACTAAATACTTCACAGCTTTTACCACCCTCTAGTGACAAAATAAGAATTTCACAGAGATGTTTTTTCTGCTTCCTACAGATGAACAGAAAAGCATGCACTTGGTTGTCTGTGCTGCAATTTACTACCATTATTTTCCTAATGCAAGTTTTCTATGCTGAAATGTGACAAGTTATGCTGTTTAAACCAGATGTGTAATTTCAACTATCAGGCAAAGTGAAAAATCCATATAGATCTAAGCTTTCATTCTAATCAATGTGCAAGGACAGCTGAAGTAGAAGTCTTTCCTACACATTGCTACCCTTAATTTGTAGTTTAGTACATTCCACACCGGAATACATGGAAGAATTGTTGCCAGTGTTTCTAAGTCATTTTCACCATGTTATTACCGTAGAACACAATTTTCATTGCTGCATGAGGTGCTTCAAATGCCTAAAGAGATGAGAGACACTTTCGGACACACTTTAATGTAAAAGACCACTCACAGGCCAGATGGAGAATCAAGTATCAACTGTCCTCTACAGTAAAACTTCTGCACTGAAGCAGCACGGTACAGCTTTTAGCCTTCCAAAGTACTTAACTCCAAAATTGCAGAGCTCACTGGTTTTACAGGCCTTGTTGATTCTAAAGGTAAATTTCTGTATTGTTAACTAAGAGTAGGCAAGCACTACATTGTTGCCTACTGCAGCTAAAACATTATTCTCTCCTACCTGTTCCTAGTGTCTGCTAGATGCTACGCCCTGGTCACTGCCAGCTGAATCTACTGGAGAACATTCATGAAAAACATTAAACTATAAGCATGTGGGCTGAGCTACAAGAAAGGTTATGAGTAGTTCAGAGGCACCAAAATGTTAAGTTGTCCCAGCAGCCTTTGATTAGCCTCCTGATCAGCATTTAGTACATTAGTTTAGCTCGTTCTAAAACACATCTCAGATTACCTTACACAAAGATAACAGCTGGCTTGTTTTCGGGGGGATTTTGGATGGCTTTTTTTTTTGCTTGCTTGCTTTGGGTTTTTTGTTTTCTTTTTTACACTAATGGCAAATCTACTTACAAAAACATACAAAACTACTCAGACTGAAGCATGCAACATTTTTCAAAAGCACTAAAACTATTTAAGCCCTACTCAAAAAAATGAAGTGCTTACCAAAAGCAGAAGAGGGAATGCTGCACACCTCTATCACATCACCAGAGGCAGAGCACCTCAGTAGTACAGATGAAATACCTGGACTCTAAACTCTGTTCCAAAACAATGTTAGAGCCAGTACAGTCCATTCCAAGTCTTGATCAGTTTGACAACACAGACTATTCCCAGAAACAGTCCCTAGAAGTCCAGGTATCAATCAGGCATTTTGCTAATGCCCTGTGTCCAAACAACCTCTCTTACACCAAGGAGGTGTGGGAGCCAACAGCATAGGATTTGATCTGGCTCACAGGAAAATAATCTTTAACTACAGGGACTTCCCTTCCCTTTCAAAGGCAGAACACGGTGTTTCTATCTGGAGAGAGAGAGATATTAAAGGGAGGTACGAAGGACACATGCGACTTGACTTTCCAAGTTCTGAAAAGACTGATGTATTTTTGTTCATTTTTGCAGACACATTTTTCAAATAAACTTGCCTGTGTATAATCACATGAAAATAGTTCTGATCTTACAGTTACAACTAGTGCTCCCTGCCATGGCAACACAGCACCAGTGCTGTGACAGAACAACTACTATATAAATTTGCAGCCATAAGAAAAAGCATCAAAAAGCACACATACTTTTATTTAATAAATAAAAATCATATTTCTTATTTCATAAAAGCTAATTAACAAATGAAATTACACTGGATAGTATATAGCTTACTAATGCCATTATATAGTTTGGTATGATAGTTGTCTTCAGAGAAGGACTTGCATAGAAAAAGCAAGATTATCTTGACTCACTGCCTCTACAAAGTGCTGGGAAAGCAAATAAAATGTTTTAGTGAGTAAAATGTTCAGTATGTCTACTCAAGAAAAAAAAAAATCTTGACAACAATTTTTATATAGAAGAACAAATCTGTCATACTTGAGAAGAGTTTTGAAGGGTACTTTGTTTTCCAGTTCTCACTCATCCTAAGTACTTAAGGCACACCAGTTTTATTAAACACCAGTTTGCAAAAACCAGATGCTCTTTAAGGGGTGAGATTTTACCTTTCGAGCCTGTTCCTCAGCTCGTTCTTTCTTGATTTTTTCCAGTTCAGCCAGAAGAGCTGCAGTGTCATCATCATCACTGTCTTCCAAGTCCTCATCTTCATCATCTTCCTAATAGCACCAAATGGAAACAAGAAGCAGCTCGTTCATTTTATTTAATAAAACCAGCCCTGGTCTGCCCAGTTAAGGCTGCAGTTTGCTGCTGTCTGATTTCTGAAGTACTTGTAGCAGCAGCAAATACAGTACAAACACTTTATTTGCTCTTGTACAGTAAAGACAAGACAAAAATATGTTTGTGCTTTTTGGCTGATTGCAATTAATTTTTTATAATTTAAATGCTATGTAGCTGACAGATTGCAGAGAACGGCCATCCCCAATCTCTCTCTAATCATTGTAACGTAAATCATTACAATAGCACCCCTGCATATCCCATCCAATATTGCTGGGACCAAATATAATAGGATTAAAAAAACCCCTGAGCTTATTGTCAAGCCTTAGAACTAACTCCTAGACATCAGCATGAAGAGAGGAGCCAAGAGCAAGAACCCATGGGTCATGCAAACAGTCAGCCTATCTCAACAGTTTTACCTTTGGGGAATTCTAACTAACCCAGTAGTTGACAGAGTCTAAGTAGTCACCCATTCCCCACACTTTAAGTGGTATTTTCTGTTCCCTAGTTTTTCTGTGCTTTCCAAGAATACCATTACAGCATGGACCAGAATCCTCTGAACCACTCTGGACTTCCACCACAGTAGAGTAACTGTAAAAGGAAGATATGTTGGAACCTGTCTTAAATCTTTACAGACCTAAAAGTACATATTCTATTAACAGTAAATCCTGAAGGCAGGACAATGAAAGGAAAGATGACAGAAAAAAGATACATACATCAGTAAGAGGATCATCGGCATCAAGATTTGCTGCAGGAATCTGGTCCAGCCGAGGCTTCTTAGATACAGAAGATGATGTTGTGTGTTCTATGGCGTAAGGTTTAAAAAAAAAAGAGACACTTCTTTTTGTGTGACAAAAAAGTAATTTCATTTAACAGCATCTAATGTCAGAAAGCAAAAATCTTCAAACGATTTGTCTTGTATTAGAGTGAGAGATACAAGCTTATGCTTACTTTTTCCTCACTTTTCAATCTTAATGCCCATGCTAATTCCTACCCTGTAGGTATCCTCAAAGGAAGAAATAACATCCCCGAACTCACAATTTGGCTGCCAGAAGTTTTTTGAAGTCATTATGTCAAGAAGAAAGAACAGCAAAAAAAAAAGCTGTGGAGAAATATCCTTATTCTGTATATCCCACTGGAGGGTTCCCACTGAGGACCACCCCAAAGCATTACTGTTGGCTAGTCTGGTCCAAACCACATCTGCTTTCGTCTGTGAATTTGAAAGCCCTGTAATAACTTCACACCTAAACCTAAAGTACCTAACTTCCGTCAAGTTTAATATTAAAAATGAGTATTTCTCAAAAAAACCTTTTGATTTTCATTTTAATTATCATTTCACTGTATCTGAACAGAATCGCATGCTTTAAAAATGCTTTTATTGTTACACTGGTGATGTAACACTAGAAGATGAGTCATTCCCCTTCTCCTTCCGGTCTCGCTTGTCCAAGTACAAAAAAAAAAGCGCCTTTTATTAGCTGTACAAACTTGTTGCCAGTTCATTACAATCATACTGTATCAGCTGGCCTGCACGATGGCCTATGCTCTTCTACTGGCTGGCCTAGATTTCTGCTAGCACGAAGGCAGCAGGAAAGCCAGCCGACATTCCCTTGCAGGTCAACAGCTCTGAACTATCAGACCAATACCCTAAATTCTACTCTCATGACATGCTGTCTGCAACCTGCAAATTTCTTACAACACTAAATTTTGTGCAAGAGCCATGCCACACAAAAGTATTAAGATTTTTGTTTCTTTGTTTTTACCTCTGGTTGGTCTGTCTCTATTCTTTTCTCTTGCAGCGACCCGTTCTCTCTCCTCTAGCTCCCTTCTGAAATCACGGTTACGCACCTCTTCAGGAGCATCCTGAGTGGTCTGTCTAAAACAGCATGAGGGGGGATAAAAAAGCTGAAGTTGACAGTCTGCAGCTGGGAGCAATTTTTTCAATGAGGCCAACAAATGCTGTGGTGAACAGGTAAGTACAGAGAATAAGAACTGGGTACCATGTAGACATATGTTTGTTTATTCTCTCTTCATCAGCCCCCATCTCTGTATGCATTACACACACACACACACACAGACATGCAATGCCAGGCACACACACTCCTTCCAGTGGCTCTCAAATGAATTAAAAGACCCTACATAAATTCCAACACAAGCAGGATGAGCGCATCTACCTTTCGTAGCTATGTCTACATCTCCTATTCTCCAGCAGTCCAAGCCCAGTGTCCTAGTAGATATTCATGAGTGTTATGGTCAACTTTCCTCACCATTTTATCATCCAAAGCTGCTGCAAACCCAGTCTCTAAGGCTTGCAGGTAAGACCAAGGCTAGATCATACCTTTCATAAACCTTTTCCCCTCCAAGAGACATACCAGATAATCGCCCATGACCACGAAAAAAAAAAAAAAAGTTGGGAGAACCGGCAAAACACTAGCTTTAGTGAAACACATTGCAAATACAGGTTTTTCCCTCTTTTATGTAACACACACTGGCCAAAAGCAACACACTATTTATATTTGTGTCACACTACGTTCCACTTAGAAAATGCTGAATTTTCTGTCAAAATCTTGAAAAGAACTAATGAATAAAAACAAGCAGCAATTCCTTTCACCTTTCTGTGAACCCAGTGCTGGAAATAACCCAGTGCCTGGAAGAAACCCAGCCTTGAGCCCTTATAAATACCTTGTGAGCACAGCCTGTCTTTATGATGAAGTATTTCATTTGCTTTTGTAATTAAAAACCTGAATTTGGAATTCCTGATATATCTGCAAAATCCCCCCAAACCCTGTGTCATTCAAGCGAACATGAGTAGAACTAAACCACTGAACTTTTCCTGCAATGATGCAGTCCTGGCAATTTAATAAAGACAACTCTGTATTAGGTATTTGGAAGAAAAAACAGAAGACACTCAATGCGCCCTCCATCTCTCTCAGCCACATGGAGGGATTTATTAAAACATACATTGTGTATTCCTGTATGTGTTTGTCCCCCCCATTTCTTTCAAAGCAACAGACTGCTGTTCCAAACCTCAGTATTGTTTAAAGAAACAAACCACCAGCAATTTTTCCCATAATAGCAAAATGCATTTGACAGCACTTTTTGTGCTGTTGATTTTGGTATTCTCCAAAACACTCCAACTCCCTTATCCATATGTATTCTTAAAAACCAAAGGGGCAGGAGAGAAGAGGTGAAAGGGTAAACATCTGCACAAAAAAGTGCAAATGTAAAACCTTAACAGTAATTTCACTGACAAGAGTAATGTCAGATAAAAAGAACATTTTTAGGCTGACACATTTAATTTAAATTCTAGGTATCTGTACCACATTGACTCCAGATTTCATTTCATCTTTCAAAAGGATAACAAAGATTTATTACGCATTTCAAACACAGGAAAATATTCCTAAGACTCCATTATCCTTCTCACCGATTAAAGCAACTTCCTCTCCCAGGACCTGCATGAACCACTTGCGGTGTTTAACATCACCTCTTCCAACACGTACTACTGCCTGAGTGCTATTCCATGACTTCCCTGCCTCCTCTTAACACCCTTCCCAAGTGGTCCTTTGCCAAACACATCATCTGGTTTTCCTGCTTTTAAGATGTGCACAACTTGACTCCTCTGCTCTGCAAGTGACAGCATCCGCTGTGGCTCAGTCCCAATGACAACTTTCTTTCCACTCCACTGCCCAAAGTGCTTGGTCTCCAAAGCTCACATTCTTCTGATGATTCACTTCCATACGCAGTAATAAATACCACTAAAATTAAACCTCTCCAGTTACTTGCAACACATCTGATCTCCTGGGTCTGCTTTTGAGACTTACACTTTCAGCCCACTCATTCAGCACTGCTGCACAATCTCTGGTGTCTGCTCAGTGTCAAGCACATCAACATCTACTGTGAAAATTTCAGAGTACTGCTCACAATAAATAAATAAATAAATATTTCCCAGCCTGTTTTGCTGCAAGACCAAAAAACCCAAAGACTAACCTGTATTTGATTTTAGTATGAGAAGGAAGGTCTCTGCTGGAATATTGTTTGGATAGCTGACTTAAGTCTCCTTCACCTTTTCCTCTTCCTCCTCTTGCAGGTTCAAACGTTGGCCTTGCTGCTGTCGTCATTTTAACTACTACAGAATCAAGAGATAAAAACGGTCATAACTACAACTTACAGTGAAAGCATTCACCACAAGCTACTTTGTTCCTGGAACTGTAGAAGCAGTCACAGGTCCCACTACAGAACACCAGCTATCACCCAGCTCATGATCCTCAAAACTTAAGGAGCTTTTTAATTGACAGACTTGACAGAATCTATTCAGATTTTCAAAATAGAGTATTTTCCAACATGCTTGAAAGATGATGCACAGACTCTAAAAAGAGCATGAAGCTACATTTGTAAAGTAAATAAAACTGGCCAGGACCTGTCTCCTAGCCTTAATGCAAGTGGTACAGTCTTGTAACTAAACTCCTTCCCCTCCTGAAAAAGGACAGCCAAAAATGACAGCCTACTGGGAATGATCCTTCCATTATTGCCCAAACCATACCTAGGTGTCATCACCAGAAATGCTGGCTGACACGTACCATAGCACACCGAGGGTGGTGTCGATAATTAAATACTGATGAAGTCCACACAACTTGAACGCTGCAGCCCTCGTCATGACCCTGTTCAGTTCTCTAGTACAGGCACAGCACTGTCAATACTGCAGCACAGTCCTTTGGGACTGACCTGCGCAAAGCTCCAGCTGGCCAGCAAAACCTTCTGAAGGGCTAGGGTTAATGTTTCCCTGAGTAGCACAAGGCTGACAGCTTTACCCTTATGTAAACAAAGTGCAATTAAAAAAAGCTCAAACAAATGCAGAAGTTTCCACGAGCTCCCACTTAGAAACTGCAGGAACTCACGTACTACTGGCATGTCCTAAAAAATGAACTACCTGATGCCCAAAATCACTCCTCTCAATTCTTCTGTGGCAAAGGAGTGAAAGGGACTCCAACAAGCCACAGCCATGCAGACACCTTGTCAGCATTCACTGCGATCAACGCTGCTGGATAGGAGCTGGAGACCCTGCAATCCCAAACCACTATACCAAGAGTTTAAGATGGTTAACCAATGCCAAAAAACCCTGCATGATCAACCAGCATCATCTTAAATCTACTATCTGAAGGGATTTTCACCAAGACATGCACATCTGTTAGCCACAGGCTAAAGATATATAAGACATGAAAGAGATACATCTGCAGAGATACATAAAGGCACCAGTCCTACCAAACAGAAGGATGGATGTTAATGGATGACAAGAGAACACATTAAAGAATATTAAAAAGCAAAGAAAAAAACATGATATGACTTCATATGCTTTTGTGATACACAAATAAGTTATTTATGCTCTGCTGTTTTTTCACTTTTAATGAGTTCACAAAACATGTGACTTTAGTGTTAAAATTACAAAATAATTTGTTGCTCAAAGTAACATCCCATCAGGCAGAACACAGTTACTGGCACTAAACTACTACTCAGAAAACAAAATTAACAGACAGAAACACCTTTAAAAAGAAGTGAGACAGTAACGAGCCTTGGCTCATTCACCAAGGACTGCTGACTCTTTTCAGTGATGCTGTGCAAGTCAGCTGGAGCTCAGCAAGACATTTTAGCTCTGTCTTGGCACAGATCTGCCAAACCCATGATCCAAGAAAACCACTTGCTCTCAGAACCTACCTGTGCTAATTATATGTAAGGGGGGAATCCATGCATTCAGGTGAACAACCAGATCAAATGTGGCTACATAATTTCATGAAGCATAACAAATCCCCTGGAAACTGTCCTGGCTTCTCTTAAGTCAGTTTCTATTCAGCTTGGCCTTAAAGGATCCAAACTGAATCTGAAACGACTCGGGACCGTCACACTGACCTCTCAGGCTTGAGAAATACAGCCCTGGAGAAGCCTCTTTAGCACTACACGAAGACACGCAGAGCTTATTAGCCAAGAGAAAGTGACCGGGCTCGGCCTGGAGCTGAAGTGCCTTGGCCGTGCAAGGCTGCGCTATAGCCAGCCCCTCCTGACCGCCTT